TTTTAACCAAATAGTCATAAAATAGTAAAATATAAATAAAGAATAAAGGAAAGGCGGGACAAATGAAAGAGAAAATGAATAAAGGAAGAGAGGGAGAAAAGAAAGAAAGAATAAAGTAAAGGAGGAAAAAAGAAAGAATATATGAAAGAAGGAACAAAGAAAAGAAGAAACAAGAGAAAGAGTGAAAGAAAGGAGAAACACACGAAAGAAAAAAAAAGATAGATGAAAGAAGGAACAGACGAAGGAAATAAAAAATAAGGAAAAACACAAAACAAAAGAAGGATAGAATAAAAGAAACAAACAAACAAAAAAAGAAAGAAAAAAAACAAAGGAAGAAAGAAAGAGAGAAACAAAATAAAATAACTTAGAAGATAAGCACGTAAAGAAAAGAAAACAAAGCAAAAGAGAGAAAGGAAAAAAGAAAAACAATGTTAAAGATAACCTCAGAAAATACGAGAGACTAAAATAAGACTGTATCTCTCTGGGCGCCGGAGTGTGAAGATCTCGTAAAATGCTGAGGTTATGATTTTATGAAGTGATTCCATGAAGTTATGTTATGAGGGGCTCCTATGAGGGAATTCATGAGGTGATGTGACTTCTTGATGTTATGCTGTGAGGTGACTCTATGACGTTAGGCTGTGAGGTGAACCCATGAAGTGATTTCATGGTTATGTTATGAGGGGCTCCTATGAGGGAATTCATGAGGTGATGTGACTTCTTGATGTTATGCTGTGAGGTGACTCTATGACGTTATGCTGTGAGGTGAGCCCATGAAGTGATTTCATGAAGTTATGTTATGAGGAGCTCCAATGAGATTATGTAATGAAGGGAATTCATGAGGTTATGATATGAGGTGAACCCATAAGGTTATGCTATGAGGGGCTCCCACGAGGTTGTAATATGAGGTGAACCCATGAGGCTATGATATGAAGTGATCCGTGACGTTATATTATGAGGTGAACCCATGAGGTTATAATTTGAGGTGATTCTATGAAGTTATGTTAAAGGTGATCCGATGAAGTAATGTTATGAGGTGAACCCATGAGCTTATGCTATGAGGGGCTCCCGTGATGTTATGATATGAGGTGATTCCACGACGCTATGCTATGAGGTGAACCCATGAGGTAATGCTATGAAAGGCTCTCACGAGGTTGTAATATGATGTGATCCCATGAGGTTATGCTATGAAGTTATCCCATGAGATTATGCTGTGAGGCGATCTCATGAGATTATACTATGAGGTGAATCCACGAGTAGGGGATACCATGAAGCGATGCCATGAGGGGTGGATATCATGAACATAACGTGATGTCATGAGGTGATGATACCATGAGGTTCTAATGTCATGATGATAGGACGATACCATGAGGTAAAGCCATGAGGGCGAGGCAGAACCACATAATCAAAGTTGCATGCAAGAAATTGTGACGCGAGTGGTCTATCGTTAACATACCGCGTAATTATGTTGGTATGTGAAGGTCACAGCATTGTCAACCAGGTCGATATATGTTGCTTGAACCATATTCATGTTGACATATGTAGAAAAGGTATGAATGAGAATGATGATATTGATAATAATAGTGATGATAACAATTATGATAATAATGATAATGATAACGATCATGATAATTGTGATAGTGATAAAAAATGATGATAATGATAATATATAATATAATAATGATGATTAAATGATTGATAATGAATTAATAATTGAATGATAAATGGATAATGAAAAGCAGGATCATTATATCAATGATGGTAGTAAAATGTAATGATGTTAATAACAATAATGATAAAATTTACTATCTACTGCTCTAATGATAATAATGATACTTCTACTACTACTACTAATGGTAATAGAAATAATAACAATAATAATGATAGCGATAAAGATGATGATGATAATAAGTAACAAACAATATAGTGTAATAGTGACATAATAATAGGTTATAAACGATGATAATGCGAATGACAAACAATAGCAATAGCGGATAATGGGTCATGATAATAATTATGATGATAATGGTAATAATGATAATAGTAATAATAATGATAATGATAATGATGATGGTAATGATGACAATATCAATATTGGTGATAACAACAACAACAGCAACAACAATAATGATAATGACAATAATGATAGTTATGATAATGAAGATAATGTTAATAATGATAGTTATGATAATGAAGATAATGTTAAAAATAATATGTAATAATATAGTAATAATGATTAATAATAGTAATGGCAGTAATAATGATAAGTCATAATTGATAACAATCATCATAAAATGAACATGAAAATAATGATGAATAATGATTGATAGAAATGGCGATGATGATGATATTGACGATGTAATAACAATAATACTGATGATAATGATGATAAAACATGCTGATATTTTTCCATCTGTTCAACAGTTTTGTAAAAGTTTTATCATTTTTCATATCATTTTAGGTCGTTGATCGGATTAATTAACGACTTTGTCAATATTTTTTTTACAAATACTTTATATGATTAAGCCTTGATGTTCTAGGAGGAAAAGTGTAGAAAGATTCATAAACTTTAGTATATTTTCTTGTTTAATGAATGAGAAAGAAAGAAAGAGAGAGAGAGAGAGAGAGAGAGAGAGAGAGAGAGAGAGAGAGAGAGAGAGAGAGCGAGAGAGAGAAGAGAGAGAGAGGGAGAGGAGAGGAGAGGAGTAAGAAAGGGAGGAGGGAGAGAGAGAGAGAGAGAGAGAGAGAGAGAGAGAGAGAGAGAGAGAGAGAGAGAGAGGAGCGAGAGAGAGAAGAGAGAAGAGAGAAAAGAGGGAGAGAGAGAGAGAAGAGAGAGAGAGAGAGAGAGAGAGAGACCGAGTGGAAAAGAGAGAGAGAGAGAGAG